ACAACTAGATTCAACAACAAAGTCTTTATGTAGTCCATGCGAACAGATTCAGATCTTGAACACAAAGTTTCCTCACGATTGTGTGACAGCTTTATGCTTATTCGGGTCAAGACCAATCTCTACTATCCACTATTTAAACTATATCATTAAATTAATTAAATCGTAGAATTGTAAACGAAACGTAAGACTCTTGTAGAGTCACGTAAGATTTTTTTTAAATAAATTGTCTTAATCAAATAATTAACTTAAAACAGGAGATAAATTTTAATTACGGATAATATAATAAACTGTCTTAATAAATATAGTTATTGTCAACCCACTTATCATTATAGGTATGATATATGTAAGTATATATCTATTTGATATATAGTATTATACACAAATTTTAGTGTTGATTTTGAATAAGATTTAACAACATATTTTATGTATTGGTATAGTTTATATCTACGAATATGTATTACTATATAACAATTTTCTTGAAGTGTAACATTGTCATCATCTAGTCATTAACCATTAAATTGGCCTAACTAATAACAGAAAAGGTTGAAATATATACAGGAGATCGAACATCATTGTGAAAAATGAAAAAAAAAACTATTAAGTTATATCAAGTAAGATTTATAATTATTATTTGAACATATAAAAACTTTTATAGTTACGATTCTTATCAAATAAACCCTATTTCTTAGCTAATATTTTTAAAATATTCATTATAATAATATCTTAAATTTAATAATTTCATTAATAAGAATTTAATAATTACTATTTAATTAATTAAAAAATAAAAAATGTGAGTTGGATATTTTTATCACATATTTTAATACACTTTTGAAAAAAATTTAAAAAAACTTGACTTATTAAAAACACCTTTAAATTTAAGGTAATTAATATATATATAAAAAAAATCTACTCCTTACTTGGTCATATGTATATTATTTTTAATCATAGAAAAAAAATTACAATGACAATAAGATTTCAATTTAGGACCTTTCTCATACTACTTTAACTCTACTAGTAAAAATACTTATAAAAAAATATTTTTTTAATCAACAGAAATTACAATGACAACAACTTGGTAATTATTTGGTCATATAAAATAATTAATAAGATAGCATTCTCTTATTTATAAATAGCGTAATGTTTTTCAATGTAACATTAATTAATTCTTTTTCATCAATATCTCTAACAATAAATGTTATTGTATAACAATACTATTTAGTAAAAAAAATTAATAAAAAAAGTTAATTTTGTAAAATTATTATTTTATTTTACTTGTTTATTAACTTTTCTTAATTTGTGTTGAACAACACTTATTAAGAAAGAGAGTAAAATTTATCAATAAAATTAATGAAAGTGAGTAAAGAAGAGTTATTATCCTTTACAAACCGCATTTAATTTTATTTAAAGAAAAATTTTACTACTAGAAAAGTATCATATTTCTGCGAATTTTCCTTAAAAAAAATATTTGCATAAATGTTTTGCGAATTTTCTTGCAATAAAATTTTACAATTTTTTTTACGAATTTATTTGCAAAAAATAATTTATTATATAAACTAACACTACAAAAAATGTTACATATAGTGACATACAAATAGTAACATTATAATACAAATAGTATCATTATAGGTATGATATATGTAAGTATATATCTATTTGATATATAGTATTATACACAAATTTTAGTGTTGATTTTGAATAAGATTTAACAACATATTTTATGTATTGGTATAGTTTATATCTACGAATATGTATTACTATATAACAATTTTCTTGAAGTGTAACATTGTCATCATCTAGTCATTAACCATTAAATTGGCCTAACTAATAACAGAAAAGGTTGAAATATATACAGGAGATCGAACATCATTGTGAAAAATGAAAAAAAAAACTATTAAGTTATATCAAGTAAGATTTATAATTATTATTTGAACATATAAAAACTTTTATAGTTACGATTCTTATCAAATAAACCCTATTTCTTAGCTAATATTTTTAAAATATTCATTATAATAATATCTTAAATTTAATAATTTCATTAATAAGAATTTAATAATTACTATTTAATTAATTAAAAAATAAAAAATGTGAGTTGGATATTTTTATCACATATTTTAATACACTTTTGAAAAAAATTTAAAAAAACTTGACTTATTAAAAACACCTTTAAATTTAAGGTAATTAATATATATATAAAAAAAATCTACTCCTTACTTGGTCATATGTATATTATTTTTAATCATAGAAAAAAAATTACAATGACAATAAGATTTCAATTTAGGACCTTTCTCATACTACTTTAACTCTACTAGTAAAAATACTTATAAAAAAATATTTTTTTAATCAACAGAAATTACAATGACAACAACTTGGTAATTATTTGGTCATATAAAATAATTAATAAGATAGCATTCTCTTATTTATAAATAGCGTAATGTTTTTCAATGTAACATTAATTAATTCTTTTTCATCAATATCTCTAACAATAAATGTTATTGTATAACAATACTATTTAGTAAAAAAAATTAATAAAAAAAGTTAATTTTGTAAAATTATTATTTTATTTTACTTGTTTATTAACTTTTCTTAATTTGTGTTGAACAACACTTATTAAGAAAGAGAGTAAAATTTATCAATAAAATTAATGAAAGTGAGTAAAGAAGAGTTATTATCCTTTACAAACCGCATTTAATTTTATTTAAAGAAAAATTTTACTACTAGAAAAGTATCATATTTCTGCGAATTTTCCTTAAAAAAAATATTTGCATAAATGTTTTGCGAATTTTCTTGCAATAAAATTTTACAATTTTTTTTACGAATTTATTTGCAAAAAATAATTTATAGATATTTCTTACAATTTTTTTATGAAAAATAATCTACAAGAAATTTTTGCAAATTTTGTTACAAATTTTAATGATCATAGAAATTTTTTTCCATGGTAAAAATTTGCAGAAAATATTGTAAGAATTTTATTTTATTTCTTGCAGATTTTCTTGCAAAAAATAAATTCACAAGTAATGTTTACTAAATGGTAAAAAAAATTCACAGGTAACTTTTCCTGCGAATATTCTTGTCAATTTTAATCCGCAGGAAAAATTAAAAAAATATTTAAATTTATAAGTAATATTTTTGAAAAAACTTCAAGTCCTACATCGATTGAAAATAAAACAATTAAAGAGTATATAAGTTGGGGGAACACTTACCATATAAGTTGATTTGTATGGTTGAATGTTTGACTTATAATCTACAATCTTAGAGTTTAAAAAATTATGTATCACATGTTGAAGGGGAAACAAATATTTCAGATGAATTCATTGTGAATATTTGAAAGTTGAAGAATTATTTATAGAATTTTTAGTAATTTCTTTGATTTTTTTCGTAAAAAATATTTCAGGAGAATTTCTTGCGAAAAAATTTACAGGAAACTTTTCTGCGAATATTTTTTTGCAGGAAACTTTCCTGCAAATTTTTTTCGCAAGAAATTTCGCAGGAAAATTTTCTTGCGAATTTTAAAATTTGCAAAAACATATTATCCATGAAGATATTACCTGCAGATAAAATTTCGCAAAAAAAATCGTAGGAATAATGTTTGTCACGAATTTTAATACAAAATTTGTAAAAAAAAAAAATAAAATCGAATGTAATAAGAGAAATTCTAGTAGTGATTCTTGATAGTTAATAATGAGAGAGAAGGTAATAAATTAATAGTTGTAACATTGAAGAAGCACCCGTGCTGAAAGCGGCATGACCAAACGTTTTGGCCAAGCTAAGAATGTGCCGGTTGCCTGCCCCACTAATTGAACCTCTGTATTGGGCAAAGGCACTGGAGCAGCAACATCTTGAACTTGGTCAACCACAACCCGTGTCCAGTCTGGCTGTAGAGGGACACCATGGATGGTTGAGCCACCCTCAAATACTCGGCCAATAGCCACTAACCGTGGGGGGTCATCCTCAACATATAACTCACACTGGTTTGGTACATCAACGTGAGCCTGTTCCGGTGAGGGATCTGGAGCAGCACAACTCCCTTTAGTGCTGACTCAAACACCATCGTGAGCAACTGCAGTCTGTTGCTGAGAACGACCCAAAAGTTCAAACTTCTGTTCAAATTTATGCTTTTGAATTACTTATGATCAGATAAAATAACCGATACATAAATTTAACAATTTTTTTTTCTAGAAAAATACTTTTTTTTTCAAACCGAAGATTAGTTTTAATTAGGGACGATATAGCCCCATCGTCCTGATCAAATTTCGATCTCCATTTTTACAAACTAAACAAATATGGGTCTTGGAAATCCACTTATAAAATATATAATTGCTTAAATATAAACTTGATTTTCTAAATAAAAACCTAATTTCTAGAAACATGTTACAGTAAATTTTAGAAACGTATTCTAAAAATCCTAATTTCTAGAAACATGTTACAGTAAATTTTAGAAACGTATTTTAAAAACATCCCTTTAAAAAATAGTTCTAGAATAACATATAGAATTGTCTAGAATATATGAATAGATTTTGATTTTTGAAGAATATTCTAGAAATTTATTTGTAACCATTAGATTAAAGTTGTGTCAATAAAATCTTAATCATTAATTTAGGAAGAATCACTAGTATAAATGGAAATAATATCTTAATGTTTGCATCAAGTTAAAATCAAGAAGTGATATTATATATATATATATATAATGATCCTAATTTGTTGTATATTTGTTGTTTAATTTTAGGTGATAGATCAATGCAATTGATCTAAAGAACAGGCACAAGCGAAAGCTTGAGACAGTGAGTTTGTTGCATATATATATATATATATATTATTTATTCTACTTTTCAATTAGATATGTTAGATAAACATAACTTCAAATGGAATTTGGGTACTTAAAATAATATATCCTAACTATTTCATGCATTATATAATTAGTATGTGTTCAGAAAAATTCTCCTTCTACAAGAGATTAGAAGTTCTTGAAATTAATTCAAACTAAGATGTTGGAGTTTTCAATATAACCGGAATAGAAAATTTAATAGACAGAACTTATAATCGATACAATTATTATAAATATAACAGAATTACATATTGCAATGTTGAAGTTCAAAGTATGCATCAACAAGTCTAGATTAAAAATAACGAGACAATGATATAGAATCGTTGTCTTAGACAAGATTTTTAGTTTAATGTTTAACATCTAGAGGTAAGTAGCCACATTGTTCTCAATTTCCTCTTTGGCTGGTTCATCAAATACTTCCTCCCCAACATATAAAGCTAGAATTGACTTACATAAGAGTTTACTCTGTATGCTTCCCACTTCTTGTCCATTAACTACAAGAAACAGGATAAATTGCATCAACTTCATTTTGTCAGTTTGAACTACAGTGTATAAAGTTAGACTCAGTCCTAAAAGAAGAAAGAAGTAGGGAGAAGAAACATATTCTAGAATTCTCAACTGAATCTTCTGAATCACTATAAAGATGACTTACTCAACATACGTAGAACATGACCCTTCTCTCTTAAAAGATGAATTACAGATCCATGAGGTATTTTGTATTCATCTTTAAACTGTGAAGTGAACCTGTATCACATCATGTTAGTGAATTACTTATTATTTGATAAACATTTTTGTGTGTGTGAAAGTGAGGATTCAGTCCCAAATCTGCAATGCTCCCACAAGTTCTACATTAATAAATATAATGATGTAATAACTAAAGCCTTAAAATAAGAAAATGACAATACAAGTTGAAGGAAGTATTCACCTTTGAAGCAATTCTTTATAGTCCGATTCCCCAGACTTGTGTAGTGTGCTTCCCACGGACTCTTCAAATACACTACGCAAGAAACGAATGCTCAAATCCCTGCGGACAATTTGAAGTCTAACTGCCATGAATATATCACTTTCCATAAGATCATCAGTAAACTCCTTCTTGCCCTGCAACTTGGAAGCAGAAAACTTTCTATATTTCTCAGAAAGATATTTCTTTATATCCAAATCAGCAGCATAAACACCTGCCACAAATAACACATTTTCTAAATATTATAAAAGTTCGGTTTGTCCCCTGATCACTATGTGATATATATTTCCAAATTCAAACTAACAACTCCCTTTTCCTTTCGTCCAACCAAGATAAAAGTTATGACAAATTTGCAAATGAATTAATTACACAAAAATTATTACAAACAAAGTCATTAAAGACATTAGATCGGAATGTACATGCTAAATTGAAATAAGTTTTTTTTTTTTCATACCAAATGCATAAACATCAAAGCTTATGAATGGAATAAGGCTTTTTTGGCGCAAACCAACTCCACAGAGTTTAAGAGAAGGGCCTAGAGCAGAAGGGAAGGGCACTCCGGTTCGTCTCTCATACACGTAAATACCATTGTCCTCCAAATTGAGAAGCAACGATAGGCGAGAAGAGATAACAGAACTCATCGCGGTGAAGGAGCAAGGGAATTGAAGCGGTGAAGTTGGAGAAAATGAGAGAGTGAATTGCAGGAACTCCAAACACAGACAAAACAGATTAAAGTAAAATGCATGCACTAGGCACTATAAAGTAAGGCTGCTTACGTTATCATTTAAATTTCTAGAACAAGTGTCACCGACATGATGTTATTTTTCTTCTTGTGCGGTTGTCTTGTCGGCAGCTAATCTACTTGATTTTATTACTGAAAATACAATAAAATTAAAAGAAAAAGAATTCTACATGACAAATTTTATTAGGTGCTGAAATTTCTTATTTGATTTTTAGTTTGTCACATTAATTTCAAAGTAGTGTGTACTTGTTCCCTTCATCTCCATGCATCTCCCTACTAACTAAGAAAACAGGAAACAATGATTGGACCGATCCGAACATATTAATAGGTAATTTCTACGGGAAACCTATGATGGTATAAGTGGTACACAAGTTAACCTCTATTTTGTTATGTTAGAATTTAGAATCAAGTTGTCTTTGGGTGGACAAGGTGTCACCGTAATATTTTTATAAAAATAAATGGACGGTTGAGATTAATTATTGATTTTGTTGTTAAATTATGAAATTAAAATTATGATTATTTATGTTTTTAATTATCTCTTATTTTATTTTATTTTTTATTTTTGTCTATCAATTTTTTATTATTATTTATAATCTTTAATTTTTTGTTTGTTTGTATTTTAGACTTCCAGTAAATTGAGAGGATGAGTACAAACTTTTTCAAGGTTTTTAGAGATAAATGACTTGTCGGTGAAGTTCACCGACCGCGACTATCCGGTGCTTGAACCGAATGAAATCAAATGTTTCTCTCTCTCTAGCATGGACCTTCTCTAGGAAACGATCACGACAAGTTTTCTCCACCTCAAATCCAACCTCCTCATCCACCATGCACCGCTTCCTGTGAATCCTGAATCTAACGAAATCAAACGTTACTCTCTCTTATATTTTTTTCCTTAATTCAAAGACTTTAAAATTTTATTATTATTTTTTCTTTTTTTATTCTACTTTTTTATTAAATTTTTTTTTTCAAAATCCAAACAAAGTATAAAAAGATTAGAAACAAAACAAGTGTATAGTTGAAATAGTCACTCTCATTTTAGTATAGATGAAAAAAACTATGAATGAAAAATATTGGAGCTTGAAATCTAGCTACAATGTGACTAAACTGTACTCCTTATAAGAAAATATTGGACTACTGAAGCTAATATTTACCCGTAATTATAATTTGTTTGCTTGTGAAGACAATTGGTGTGGTACTAAAATTGAAAACCCTTCATCATCTCTTAAATTACTCATACTTTACAATAAGTTAAATACGGAAGTGGTATTGTTAATTATATGAGTTATTCTCAACTATTTGCATAACTTAATATAAAAGCTATATAGACGTATAGAAAAGAATTCTTAAGAATATTTAATTAGTTTACTTATAAATTAAATTCAGCTAGTTATATATTTTTTAATCACTAACTCACTACTAGATTTTAATTCTTTAGCAACATTTTCTTGTTTACATTTGTTAAAATGTTACTAAATATTAAATAAATAGGTTATTTTGCAACACTTTTTTAAAAAATGTCATTATAGATAGATTAACATCTTTATTTTAATATTATTTTTTCTAATTATTTTCAAAATCAAAGTCCCATATTGAGTAAAAAAATTTCACATAGGTTATTTTGCAATATTTTTTTTGAAAAATGTTACTATAATTGCTTCTAAAATCAAAGTCTCACATCAAGTAAAAAAAAATAAATTTCTCTTATCTCTAATTATTATCCATAATTAAAGTCCCACATCGAATAGATTAATGACTCATAAAGAGTATATATAATCATATAGTTATACCTAAGATAAATGAAATTTGTTATTTTATATATAATTAGTGGTAATTAATTAAAAATGTCTTCCCCTAAAAAATAGCTAAGAATTCCTAGGAGTTTAAGAGACATAAAAATATAATAATTGATAGTAATATATCTAAATTAAAATTAATTATTATTTTATAAATTAATAAAATATTAGCAACATCATTAAAATGTTACAAAAATACTACTTTGCTAACATTTGAAAAATGTTACCTAATTATATAAAAATGTTATTAAAAGTCTTTAGCAACATGGACTATATACAACATTTGATAATATGTTGCTAAATCAAATTAGCAACATTTATACATAATTAAGTAATATTTTTTAAATGTTACTAAAAATTATTTATGTTGTAGTGACTATCCAAATGAAGAATATGAAGGGGGTCGTGAATCACTCCTTTAACAGAGAAAAATAAATTAAATTATAACTATACCTATGACACGAGTTCCTATTTATTACTAGATAAAGTGGTAAGGGAGAGAAAGTCTGTTATTCTATGTAGGAAGTTTGTTACACGACACACGATGTCACATGTGATTTACTTAGTGTAAATGTGATTAAGTCAGCTAAAGTATGTCAAAGTCATTTTAGGAATGACTAAATCAGCTTAGGTGTAACTAAGTTAGCATAAACATGATTAAGTTGACCTTATGTGAGTAGGTTAATCTTTGCATGATTGTATCTGAGGTATTCATTCATTAGTCAATTATAGTGATGAAGTTAGCATAAACATGATTAAGTTGACCTTATGTGAGTAGGTTAATCTTTGCATGATATTGTATCTGAGGTATTCAATTATAGTAACCCTTGACTCTATGTTGTACTAAACAAGAATGTTAACTTTAAAAGAATTGGTCGACTTGAAGGCTTCTCCAGAACAATTACCCCTAAGTTAATTGTGCTAAAATATAATGTCAACTTTAAGCAAACTAGTTAGCTTGAATGTTTCTCTAGAACATTATCTTTGGGTTACATGATTTCAAGTATTTCTTCTTGTGGTGTTTCTGTTGGAAGCCAAACTACAAATTTGTATCAAATACTCATTTGGCAAGTATTCTTAGGTAGTAAATTGGATAAAAGTCTAAGTTATCGAATTCACATGAACTTGAGTTATAATTGTTTAATTTAATTCTAGTCCTCAAATATATTTAAACTTTATTTAACTTCTTAGGCGAGAAATCATAATTCTAAAAAGATTTTTCAACCTTAGTTAAAATTATAAAATTATACGTTGACCTAAATAAGCATTAAGTATAAAATAAAATAAAAAAATGTATTGAATGAGAATAGAAAATATTACATGAGTACAACAATTAAATTAATAGTAGAGAACTTAGCCACTTATGAATAAGGATTACATAAGAAAAGAGAGATATTTGATTGACCAGTGATTAAAAGAACACTCTCATAATAACTCTATCTAATATCTTTAAAATTATGCTTGAAAAAGTATTAATTGATTGATTTAAAGACCTTCTAAAGACTCTATTTTTATTATATTTTTAATAAGTTTTTAGGTTAGATGTATTCGCTCAGAGCACTTATGTGACTTGCTTTGAGCAAGCTTGTGTAGTAGCTCAAAGCTAATTTAATGATAGCTTTGAGCGAGGTACTAGCTCATAAGAAACTTAATAGTAACTTTTAGTGAGATGTTAGCTTAGAACAAGTTTAGTGATAATTCGAAATGGATTTAAAGCGACCAAATAGCTCATTTAAAGAATGTCAGAATTTGACATTTGTTAAACACCAAACAAAAAAAAAGTAGTGATGACAAACCAAAACATAAAACGTTTGTCATTAAATGTAGTTTTTGCCCCGGGTTAGTTTGCGTGTAAATACACTTAAATTGACTTGGTACAATGGTACTCATTAATTGTAACTCTTTTAAGGATCACATTTCTTCACTGACTATTACCAGATCTAATCAACACAATAGATAAAAGACGCGTAGGCGATTTATCGAGCATTTTCCTTGGATCAAGACATTTTTGCATGTTTCTCTAGAGTCCAAATCTGCTCGTAAGGGTGACGAAAAAATTGAAATAGATGAAATAAACTACATCTTACATGATGAGCCAGGGAAACAGGGATTATGAAATACTTCCTAGAGGAAGGAAACAAAATTGGGGCTGGCTACGGAATAGGAAGTTGGTTACATCTTATGTAGTAAATATGATTGACATTTGAGTATGATGTTAATCTTGATTATTTTTTGGGGTAAAGTCTTCACTTCTTTGTTATCTAAATGACAAACAGCAAGATCACAGTTACCATAAACGTTGGACGGATATGATTATGTGTTTATTGGGGTACACAGTTAATCCCTTTGCACAAGATTTTCTTTGAATCTTCGTCGCAAAATGAAAAAAATACGCGGTGTGCAGTCATAGAGATAGAGTAGTAAATGTAAGCATGACCCCAATTGAGAAAAAGATCCGTTATGATATTTTGATGTACATATGTTGTTATGTTTTAATCAAAATTGCAATTGGAAACACATTTCTATATTGATGTGTATTTTACTTGGTAAAAAGTTGTTATCTAGTTGGGATTGTAATCTAAAATGAAAATTTCAATCTCACTATCACATTTTGTAGCCAAATTCGTGCATTGTTACTTGTAGGAATATCAAAGTTTCACTAAACACATATCCCTATATATTTTGGATAATTACTAGATACTTAAGCTTTGATGATGACTTGATCCATAGTTAGAGAACTCTAGTAAATTTGTTAGGAGAAATGAGTAAAAACCTAGTAGATAAAACTTAAAGGGCATAGAAATTTTAAATGAGCTAAAAGAAGTTCCATATATCAATCATATGTGTTATAGAACTTATTTTAATTGAGATTAAAGAGTACTAATATAACACCTAATCAAATAATAAATAGCTTAAAGATGACAAGTCAACTATATTTAAATTATATGATTGGATTAAGCAAATAGTGGAGTCATAAACGAAGCAAAATTCTTATGTAAATCTATCGAGTCACATAAAATCTTTCAAATAAATTGTCTTAAAAAATAATTAACTTCAAAATTGAAATTTAATTTTAGTTATGAACATTATATACTCCAAGTGAGGGTCGAATTTCCATTTTCTCAAGCGAAACAAATCTACGTTCGAATTTCCATTTTCACAAACGAAACAAATCTAGATGTTACCAACCAACTTAAAAGCATAATATATATATAT